GTCATAAATTCTTTTATCAGATTTTGTTTTTGTTTTCTTTCTTTCATCAAGATATATATATATATATATATATATATTTTATTTTTCCTTCTCTTAAATTGATTTCTCTTGTAAAATCCTTCTCACATATATAATATTTATTTTAAATCTTTTATGCATAAAATTACCACTTGATATGATAAAATAAATTACATTTTAAAAGTGAATTCATTATTTTCTCTATTTAGAATAATTCATTACTTTGTTAGTATATATTCTTGATGAAATATTAAAATTGTATTTTCAACACAAATTTGATTAGAAGATCAAAAGTGATAAATATTTGTCATATCTTAAAAACACATAATGTTATCCCACCTCCATAAAGGACTCACACGTGTGACGGACGTGAATTAAACTAGTATAAGTAAGAGAGAAGTCGCTTTATATAATTAGAAAATAAAATTATCCTTTCTTTTATTTTAAAGCCTTGACGAAATGAACCATTGACCCATTTGGTTCATGGGTTCATTAGGTTTTGAATCCCCTTGGAACAAATTTGAACATAATGTTTAGTTAAGTTTTCTAAACGTTGGCTGTGGGTTTAGAATCCATTTGAAATAACTTTTACCTCCTCCCCCATAAGTTCCCATGGGTTTAAACTTATTTACTTACAATTCTCATACTAACCAAACATCATTTCAAATTTTATTTTCTAATTTAACATTTTATTCTTTGTTCCGACTTTACTTTTTAAACATCAATTTGAATCTAAATAAAACCCAAACAGGTTTAGAACTTTTAGTTCAAATCTAAAAAAGATGAAAACCACACAATTGGAAAAAGAATATTTTTGAAAAACCACCCCAGAAAATTTCCTGCACATAATTTGATCCGAAAATTCAACTTTAATCATATTGAACTCATCCTAAAATCATTATAAACCAATTCTAACATTCTAAATACAAATATAACAGCCCTATCGTGCTTCTATACCTGTTCATGACGAAAAACATCACAATTTCAATCCACGGAAATCATAGAATTATAACAAATGCAAGAATCTTTCAGCTTAGTAAGTGTACTGCATGCACTTTCACCCTTGACCACCCCTGCCGTACACTTCATGTGTATGCACTCGTTCCATCAGCGTTGCCTTGGAGATAATGAAAAGGAATGTCCTGAATGTGCTCCTGCGTGCAGATCTGTTCTCGAAATGAAAAGTATTAAAGCATAAAATTATTGTTGACCCACCTCCTAATAGCTTAAGTTTTTGAGATTGATTGGTAAACTAACATGGTATCAGAGCAGACCCAGTTTTACTTGTTAGGGGAGGATTACCCTCATACTAATATTTTCAACTAATGTGAGATTCTAATAAAAAGAAATCTGAAACAGAACTCCAAGGATCAACATCATTTCTTGTCTTCCAGCAGGTGAAGAGTTCGAAAACTGGTTTTTCTGATTGCCGAGCACTTTGGTAAGGGGATCATTAGCAAAACAAGTACTTAGCAAAACAAGTACTGCAACTACATGTGCTTCTCAAGTAGTTAGATTTGCATTAAAAATTATTTGTTATACGTGTCTCTCAATTTGATTTGATTTTGACCATATTGAACGATCAAAAATCAACTCTTACCGGTAGAGAAACTTACCGGAGAAATTTTCTAATAAAAAAACCAAAATAGATGATAATAAAGCCAATAACGATTCGGCCCCGTTTATTTCACAAATTTGAGTTTTTAATTTTAGTTTTGCTACAGTTAAAAGCTCTTACAAAATGACACATTTAATTTTTTTTGATATAGTGAAAAAACTCTCATATAAAATCGCATCTCAACTCGAATTCACGAACTAAACGAAGCCGATGTAGTTAAATGTTTTTACATTCTAAGATATTTTATTGGGTGTTGTTTTAACAAAAAAATATGTTATTTGTTAGTCCTATACTGCTAAACTATGAGGATATTAATTTTTTGGGGGAGTTTTACTTTTAGGTTCTGAAAAATAAATTACCCAAAAAGTTTATGTTTTTAACTGTTATATTTATATTAAAAGTTGTTATTCTACATAATTTTTTCATTCTAATGTGATTATAACAAGATTCAACAGTCAAAAAATAATTCTACTGATAAAAACTCTTACATTTTGGTGATTGAAAACTTTTATTTTTGATATATTACTATTTGAACTTTTTATTTAATAAAGTTGATCTCTGACTATAAAATTGGTGATAGATTTTTATAATTTAACAAAGATAATTATATGTCTAACGTGTTATAACCTAAAAATTTATTAACAAAGATAATTATATGTCTAACGTGTTATAACCTAACAATTTATCACAATAGTTACATTATACACACAATATTCTTTTCACTATCCTTAAAACTCATTGAAAACTATAATACTTATTATACTCACAATATTCTCTTCACTATCGTTAAAACTCATTGAAAACTATAATACTTATTATACACACAATATTCTCTTCACTATCGTTAAAACTCATTGAAAACTATAATACTTATTATACACACAATATTCTCTTCACTATCGTTAAAACTCATTGAAAACTATAATACTTTGCACTTAAAAGTTCATGAACTAAAATTTCACAATAGTTATAGTTCAAGTACAAACAAAGCCACTTGTGATGAAATATAAATTTATGGATAAGAATTACTATTTTTTTTTCCTTCTAATCGATAAATAAATGTTTCATTTTAAAGTATTATTTTAAGGCCGAAAGGAGAGTATTGTATTTTTTTTTTATAAAAAATTAAGTGTAAGATGTAAACTCTTAAAGTTATGCCTTATAGCGAAGTATATTTTTTGTTCTTTTTTTTAGGGTGAAGTATATTTTTTGTTCAATTGAAAATAAAATGGCTCAATTCGGAAAAAAGAAGTGATGGTTCAGCAAAAAATAATAATAATAATAATCTCTCTTCACTTGACCGATTCGAGTTTAAAATTTGAGTTTTATTACAGTAAAAAATTTTCAGAAACAGTCACATCTAACTTTTTTACTGCAGTCAAAAACTCTCATATAAAATCGTATCTCAACTCGAATTACAAACTCGAATTAACGAAGTGAATGAGAAGTGCACACGTTACATATTATTAGTACAAAATATGAGTGAAGAAATTATTATGAATTTTCTTTAAAGTATATAAAAACCTTTATTTTTTTACGTTAGTATTTTACACGTGCAATATTTTTGTAATTTAGTTTTAGATTATAAATGCTCTCAGATGTAAAAAAAAAAAAAATTGCTGTAATTATCTCATGGAGTACATTTGGGGGCAGTGGAGCACTAAATGTTGTTGACCCAAAGGATAAAATTAAGTGAAGAAAGGCAAAATAATAATAATAAAAAGGGAAAATTTACATGAAGGAATACCCAATAATAATAAGACCTTCTACATCTGATTACATCTTCCTTTTCATTTAAAAAAATCAAAATTTACCCAAAATGAATCTGAACCATTAATCCATTGAACTTTTGATCTTTAACCTTTCACTTCATTCCAAACCAAACCCTAAATTAATCAAAACATTGAGCAGCTTCTGTAGCCGCCGGCCACCCTACCAGCGAAGCTCCGCCAACGCCGACGACGACGGACTTTGCCCCTCCTGACAACGGATTTCGTCTCCCGACGACGGACTTCGCCTTCTCATGGCCGCCATCGCGGACAGAATTCCGGCGGAGTTAGCCGCGGCGAGTCATGGGTTTTGCTACGGGGCCGATGATGAGTCGATTGGCACCGATTTTGATGGCGGATCTGTGAAACCCAAACGGCGAACTCCCTCCACCTCTAGCAATTCCCCTCCGTCCAAAGCCTTTGGCTCGTCAAAGCTTAACATCATCCAACGCTTTTTTTTTTTTATTACAAATTCAAGGATTATTATTCACTTATTCCAAAAGGAGGATTCAAAAAAATGAAAATAAAAGAGAAACAAACACTTTTAGAAAAGATTTATCAGAAAAATAAAGAAGAAAAATAAAGAAGGATGACAGATGAAATCGTTGTCCAAAGTCTGAATGATGGTCAATTGCATAATTGGGAGCTTTGCCGTATTATTTTCTACATCCCAATTCTCACATTTTAACACAACTCAAAACAATTCAAATTCAAATAAAATTTCAAAAGAAGTCAAAATAAGGCTCGTTATTTTGAGTGAAAAACTTAAAAAAAACGGCTCGAATTATAATTTTATTTGAGTTCATATTCTTTAAAGTTTAAATTCGAGTTTGGGATTAAAACTCGAGTTCAAGTTTTTCCTTCAACTCAAGTTCAGAAATTCGAACTCAAATTAATGAATAATATTTTTTCTATTCTAAAAAATGATATAATTTTTTTGTTTTAATTCTGATTGAGATGATTTTTTTTGTATGCGTTGACAACGAAAAAACGAATAAAACTCAACCCATATACTCTATTAAAATTTTTCATCAGCATTGAGTTTTTATTAAAATACTATCTAAATATAAATTCAAGTTTTGACTCATTCAAACACAAACTCAAAAAGATTCTTATCTCAAATCATAACTCAAATGTATACAACTAAACACAAACTCAAGTTATAAGTTCAATTTAACTCAAGAATTATACTTAAGTTAAACTCTAAAAGAAGAAGCTAAAAATCATTTATATTTGAGAATTCATTCAATTCAGATGACAATGATGTGCGGTGGACGAGCTACCGACGGCAAAGTACGGTGCGGCACTGTGGAGGCTGACCGCCGGCTATGTAGCGGAAGACATGGGTTCATTCTTTTTTTTTTTTTTAAGATTAAAGAATGTATACAGCAAAAAAAAAGAAAAGAAAAAAGAATGTGTTATAATCTGAATTGAATTGTGTGTGGAAGGTTTCATTAGACTTTGGTACTCCTTCATTTGTTTTCAATTTAAATCGTATGGATGTGAATAATTACCCTACCGGTAGGAGAAAAATACATCCCCTACCATAAAAGTTCCTTAATAATACAGATTACAGCAACAAAGAAGAAAAATAAAAATAAAAAAGAAGAAAATACTTACATTTATTATGTGAGAGAAAGTGAGACCTATCAAGCCCATAGAGGGACACGCAGAAGAAAAGTGTGGGCAAAAAGGCAAATTTGGCTTGGCTCCACTCTCTCCCCACTCTTCTCGCTCCTCCTGCCCTTTCTCTCTCTAGTTTCTCACTCCGGTCTCTCTCTCTCTCTCTCTCTTTCTCTCTCTCTCTCCCGAATCAAATGTAGAGAATCTATTCATTTCTCTACTTCCTAACCCATTTTCATCGCACGGTGAGTCCAATTCGTGTTTCTTACTCGCTTTTCGCTTGGTTTTCATTTCCAGCTGAAAAAATTTGGGGGAAAAAAAACTTGGGATCTTATTAGAAACGCTTTACAAAAATCCCATTTCGTTCTTTTCTTCATCTGGGCATCATAGCTTTTGATTCTTTGGCACTGAAAAGGGGTTTAATTTGACCTTTTTTTGTGTGAATTATTCAAAAAGATTGTCTTCTTTAATGGGAGTTGGGCTGATTAGGCAGATGAGCAAAGAACAACCACCTGAACCTCTTGATTTCTTCATTTGGACAGTTGAGGTAAGCAAATTTTTATCCCTCTTTTTTATTTTTTTTCCGTCTCCTTTTGATTTGGATCTTGATCTCGTTAGATATTTGTTTTTGTTATTGAAATTGAGGTATTGGGGTTGCTTTTTGGAAGTTTGACATGATAGTTAATTTTTGAAATATTTTATTGCCGGTACATGCATCTGATCATTTTTTTTTATTTTGGTTTTATATATACTTGGAAATTTGTACTTTATTTGATTTTGGATTTTGTATGTAAGCACTGAAACTATGGTATGTTTAGATTTTTTTTTTTTTTTTTTAATTTTGTGGACTTATTGAAAGGAGCAATTTTTTATACCGAAAATGATCACATAGTTGTAGGATTTAAGAGAACTCATTGAGCTTTATATCACCGTACAACAAGCTAGTACTTGGGATCAGTTTGTGAGGCTGAGAATTTAGTATAATTTCTTTTGTCGTTGAGCACTATTGAGGATTGCCCACTGTAGCACATCAACAGATGAAGTTGAACTGCGCAAGAATGCGTATGGGGACGTGTTCTGTACCACCATGCATATTTTATAGATGCTTCAAAACATCCTAGAATACCTGATTTGAGATGGCAAGGCGTTGGGTAATTTCTGATTCGTGTTCATCATGGATGCTAATGATTGTTCCACCTAGTTATTGGAGGTTATCAAGAAAACGTGCCTGAAGGTTTGGAGAGAAGAAGTTACTGTTGGTGACGGAGGAAGTTGGTATTACCTCTTTAATAGATAAAAATTTTATGTGTAGAAGGGTTATTCGGTTGAGCAGTGTGACAGCTGTGTTGGACGATGCTCAATTGTGGAAAAGAGATTCAAATCAGTCAAAAGGTGTTGTCACAAGAATGATATTTGTAAGCGGCATATAGTTAAAACGATGGAGTATTGTGGTTGCTCATGCTTGTGAAGTAGGGTTACTGCACCATGATGTTGGAGGGCATTGTTACTGGAGAATGAGTGCACCCTATTACTAAATTCATTTATTGTAGCACATGCTTTCTGCTGAAATAATTCTACTTAACCGTGATTTTCACCTTTTTTTTCTTTCAATCTTCCCTTCCCAATGCGCTTTGATTTACTGAATCTATATTTGCCCGATCTTTCATTTGAAGGATGTTATCATGACCATTGTCACAATGTTTTTGCTACTAGTCAAATGAGTGTGAAAATCATCGCATTAAACTTTTATACTCTGTCAAAAACAAAGGACTTGGCTCATGCTTCTTTTTTCTGTACAGGATGTTGGTTTGTGGTTGGAAGAGATTAATTTAGGCAATTACAGGCAGGTTTTTAAGGAAAATGGTGTCAATGGAGAATACTTGGAAGGCATGTCCATGTTTACTACCGAACAGATTCTTCGATTTATTAGACGATGCCACATGAAATGGGGAGATTTCATCACGCTATGTAAGGAGCTTAGAAGAATCAAAGGTATTCCTCACTCTCTCTATGACGTTTATCTGGGAAATAGGCTGTTTATGTGTGACTGGCTTATCTCATTCATTCCAGTACATAATGATTTCATTTATTACCTTTATTGGTATCATTTTGTTAATCTTGTTATCTGTAGCTGAGAAATTGATGTTCAAACTTTAGAGTCTTGTACGCCCAAGTTACATTTTTGTGTTTTCCCTTTGGTTTCAAATTCAAATTGGATGTGTATATGTATGCTGAAATGAGTTATATATCCAGTGGCTTGTTTAAAGGGGGAGCAAAAGGTTCGCAGGCCATGGTGGGCTCCCTCTTGCCTCTCCGTGGTCTTTGTTAAGGTGGCAAAGCGTAACAGACAATCGCGGGTTGTTTCCTTGAATTTGGAACCTTGAAGAACAATCTGCATAATATGTATGTATTTATAATTTTCTTTTCTTTTTCCTCTTTTTACGTAGAGAACAGAAAAATAGGAAATGACTTTTTGTCTTGAATCCGTCAATATCTCTGTTTGTTCTTCTTTGGAGAACTTTGTTGTTGTATTTTAAAAGCTCTGTGTATTTATTTCTTGGTGGTTTTGTTATTGTATGACTTTTTTACTTGAAAAAAGCATGAAACAATCGAGTTCTCATTGCGACGTACTTGAAACATGTTTATAAGTGATTGTAGCCCATCTTGTGGCAAGATGAAAATGGAACTTAACATTTCCTTTTTTCGCAACTCTCTAGATATTCTCGCACGATATTTTATGCTTCAATCATTTAGAATAACAACTTTGATATTTGACATATCCTGAATGTTAGCTAGTCCTTTGAAAACATAGAATCCGAACTTGTCGAAAATCTCTAGTTATTTGAAAGTCTCTCCCCTTTTCTTTTTTTTTTTCTTTTTTTTAATTTTCAAAATTATATTTAAGTGAAAATGTTTGACATGTTACCTTTTTCCCACCACCCCAAGTCCTGTTTTTCTGCTTGGTGGGCATAGTTGAATGGTTTGTCGTTTTCACATGTAGCAAGCACAGATGAAGTTTGGGTGGTGAAAGAGTTAAAAGTGCAGAGAGTATTAGGACATGTGGTTCTTGTGTGTTTTTGGACAATTCCACCCACATACAACCGATTAAGAGGTCCACATTTGAAACCACCACTGTCAGTTGGTACATTTGATTAGTTTTGTGGTTAGACAATGCCACATGGAAAACAAAAGATGGTTGGTTAACTAGAAAGTGGATGTTGAAAGTCATGTACGTATGGCCCTCATTTGATGTGAACAACCTCATTTGCTTTCTTTGCTCAGGGACCGTGTACCTCAACCTGAAAAAAATAAAAATAAAAATAAAAATAAAAAATAGGGCCTTTGCTTTTATGTCGGATTCAAATTTGATTTGCCAAGCAATTGGTGAATGAACCATGGCTTAATTCCATCACTACAACTTTCTTTGCTTTGGAATTCATTTTCTATAAAGATTTTGGTTACTCATGGGGGGGTGTAAACTGTAGTTTGCTTTTGGGATAGTGATGGTTTACCAGGAATGCTATTATCCAAAAGAGAATTTTAATTGATTGTTTTGGCTAACTCGTTAAGAATAAAGTGGATAAAACGACACGTAATCTATAGGATATGAATGGACTTCTTTGGGTTAACTACCAACTTTCAATGTGTGGTAAGTTGTCAGTTCAAAATTACGGGGTTAAATTGTAGTTGCATGTACAGTCTAATGATAAGTTTATTTCTGACTTTATAATTTTACACCTGAACTTGAGGCGTAGAATTCAAAACCTCGCACCTTCTGTTCAGAAAAGGAAAAAATTATTACATGGATAAATTTTAGAGTTCGAATTGTACCACTTCCATTTTTTTTTTGGAATTGTTTTCAGAGAAGAAAAAAAGAAGATAACAAAAGTATAATGGAATTCCGTCCTTTGGCCATATGTGATTATGTTCAGTCATAAAGGTTTTACAGGATTCCTCATCTGGGAGTGCTTTGGCAAAAAGAGAACTGTGTGAGAGATATATTGCAAATTTACAGACAGATATTTGTCAATAACTTTATGCATAAATGGCTTGCCTATATGAGGTAACCAATTATTGAATTGTGAGCATTGATTTATGACCCGCAGCAGTGGGGAAGTGGCGAAATATTATTCTATATTAAAAAAAATAAAAAAAATAAAAAATTGTAGCATTGTAGTTTTCAAGAACTACTAAATACATATAAAGAATTTGACAATGTGAAAGGAAAACTATTGATAGGGCTGTCTTGAAACGTTATATTGGTATAAAAAGAAAAAAAAAATGAAGAATTTACTCTTAAAAGTGTATAAGTCTAGACTTTTACTCTTTTACTCTTGATAAATACTATTTTGTTAGTGTAATTATTTAACTGAAAAAGTTATGAATCAAGAGTAAATAGTAAAAATTTTGACCACATGCACTTTTAAAAGGTATTTATCAAAATTACTCTAAAAAGAACTATTTGTTATGCATATTTTTTAATTTAATGTGATTTTGATTAGACTAATAAAGATACCCTACCATAAAAGGTATTTTTCATTTTTATACTTAAAATGATAAAAAAAATCATGCAATATTATAATTCACAGTTGACCATATTTAAGCTTTTAGATTTTAAATTTATGCTAACTTCTTGTCTTTCCTCAATCAACAATCAATTTTGACCACTTAAAAAGCTAAATGCCATTAATATATATATTTTTTATTTTTTGAAAAGGAAAGGAAACTTGTAAAATATTAGGATATTTTTCATAGTGAAAATTAACTTTTGACCGTAAATGAGTAAGTATTTATTATGAATTTGAAATGTGTAAATGTAATATAATTCAAGTATACGTTTTTTAACCTAAAAAAATACCATAAAAAGCTCCCATATATAAATTATAACACATTAGAATAGCTCATGAGTAAAAGGAGTAAAAAGTTGTATAAAAGATGTAGGTAGAAATAAAATTTAAAAAAAAAAAAAAAATTTAATGGGGGCATGTATGAAAAAATAAAGTTTTAGTGGGGGCGAAATTAAAAAATTTAATTTTTAAGGGGTCAAGTTTTATTTTTGAAAAAATCAGTGGGGGCGGCTGGCTGCCCCCACTCGTCCTTGAACAACTCCGCCTCTGACTCGCAGTTCCTACATTAACATGAAGACAATGAAAACATTCGAAGGAGTAGGTTAAACAAGAAAATCAAACTAGTAGGTTCCCCTAAGGCAAAAATCCAACCAAGATCTTTCAAAAGATAACATACCTACCAGTGTCGGACAGGGCTCCCAATCACACAGCTTGCATTTCTCATAAATCTAGGCACACACAAGCACAACTGTACTTTTAGTGGATTGGTGGGGACAACCATCTCAGGTAGGTGGTGTCTCTGTCTCTTGCTCGTTTGATTTACTAGTTCTTCTCAATAAAATAAGGGCAAAAAAAAAAAGGATCAATTTGACCAAGTGTTACTACAATTTGCTCATCTTTTTATTATTATTATTTTTTTATTATTCTCAGAAATCCTCTGCAAACTGGAGCCTTTTACCGAACCCTACAATCTTTGGAAGGCAGTAAACATAGACTTTTGTCACGTAGGTGCTCATGAGATAGTTCGAACCTCAGACCTTGTGGAAGCAAACCAAAGGCCGTACAATCCTAATTTGGTAATTATTTTGATCAATATCTTAATTTGCTCAGTAAGGCATCCAATTAAGGAGAGTGTTTCTTTTTAGAGATAAACCGGACTCAAAAAACCCAAGCTTTGTAGCTCAACAGAATCAATATATTTAAAACAACTTAGAGAATAAGGCCAAACAAGAAGGATGTAAACTCCATAGATTTACCTGAAGCTGAAAATCTTTCATGTCTACTCGTTTGTTTAGCAAGAAAGTTTGACAATGAAGAAATAGCAACAGGTTGCACAATAAAGACACTGCAGGCTAAAAAGAAAACATTGAGCACAAACCTCATTTTCCTTTTCAGCGTGTTACAATACTATTTGATGATTGCATTCAAAAGATATAAAATCCAGTAAGGTAGAAGAGTAAACTATTCTCTGTAACTTCACACATTTGGGCCAACAATATAAATAAATTTAACATCTTACAAGCTATTTTAAACAGAAAACATCCGACATTTGTTCTCAACGTTTACCCCGATCATGCAACCTCACAATTCCTCATTTTGGATCGCTAGCCCAATTGCCTCAGACTAAAGGGAGGGTTGAGCTGGAAGATCAATTTACAATTTTATAATTTACACGGACTACGGCAAAAAAGAACTCCAAATCACACAACGCCATCACATGTTCCCATAATTGTAAAATTGCATCGGACTGAGTGGTGTATAATACTAAAACCAATCCACTCAACAATCAACAAACTCTAGAATCCACTGGTGGAAGAAGTGGTACCTGTTTGAGAAGCACCTGTGGTTGCAGTACTTGTTTTGCTAATGATCCCCTTACCAAAGTACTCGGCAATCACAGAAAAACCATTTTTCGAACTCTTCACCTGCTGGAAGAAATGATCTTGATCTTTGGAGTTCTGTTCCAGGTTTCTTTTCATTTCTAGAACAGATCTGTACTCAGGAGCACATTCAGGACATTCCTTTTCATTATCTCCAAGGCAACGCTGATGGAACGAGTGCATACACATGAAGTGTACGGCAGGGAGGTCAAGGGTGAAAGTGCATGCAGTACACTTACTAAGCTGAAAGATTCTTGCATTTGTCCTAAGATCCTGGATTTCTTTCCTCATGGCCGTTGTGTCATCCTATACAATTTAAAAACATGTTAAGAATCTCCGCCTTCTTATTTGAATTAAACTTGGTAAAATATCTAGATGCTACCAAGAGATTAATACACACATATCCGCTGAATTATACAAGATCAATTATCATGGCAGATAGTTAGGATGTGAAAGTAAAAAACAATGTACATGGTCATTAAGGAATCTGCAACATTTAAGAATACGTCCTATTTCAACCAAAGGCTCCATAGTGATTCAAATAGTTAATGCTGAGATTATGATGATTTTATATATATAGGGAGAGAGAGGAGTGGGATTCTTTAGGCAAGGATTGATCTGGAACATCAATAGGAGAGAGTGAGCCTCGCGAAAGCTCACAATCATTCTGTATTGCTTAATTTCTTCCTCTAATTGAGTAATACAATTCCAAATTTTCCTCACTCGTACTAGATTCTATCAGATTACAGGTAAACTTTATCGTATTGCATCTTTAATTGCAAAGACTCTACCTGCACAGGTCAACACAAGACCTACAATCAAACTGATTCGTTTAATGTGCAGAACCAGCAAAAAAGCAATGCATGTCATAAATCAATAGCCTATTACTTTTTCTTTTTTTTTTTCCTGAAAATTAATCATTCACCGTCAGAGCTGCGGATAACAAACTAACTACCACTATCTCACCGTCAGAGCTATGGATAACAAACTACCACTATATAAAAATATATACATGTATGTATCTCTCTCTCTCTCTCTAAAAATTAATCTAACACCGTTGAGCTATGAAATACAAACATTGTGCACGCAGGTTAATTGAACTGCCTTGTTTTATTAATTGAATGGAAGTACACTTAAATAGACTAGGGTTTGAATACCGAGTCTATTATCTTCTCCTAGATTCATGGCAAAAAGATTTCTACTAGCTAATCTACTCTATTTGAATTTAAACTTTAACTGATAACTCCTAATCTATATAATCGGAAATAACAAACTAAATAAAAAACTATGTGACTTATTCAAACTCTCTCTAAAAGATCTTATCTGCTAACACTCCCCCTCAAGCTTGGCTGTAGATATCAATGAGCCAAAGCTTGCCTACAAAGTACTCGAACGTTGGTCCAGGAAGTCCTTTGGTGAGTATATCCGCAACCTGTTGGCCTATAGGAATGTACTCAATGCTAATAATTCCCTTCTCTAGTTTTTCAGTAATAAAGTATCTATCCACCTTCACATGTTTAGTTCTATCATGATGGACTGGGTCGTGTGCTATGCTGATTGTAGCCTTGTTATCACAGTAGAGCTGCATGGGAAACTCACAACTAATCTTCAACTCTTCTAGCAACCGTTTCAACCAAATTGCTTCGCAGATACGATGCACCATGGCTCTGTATTCAGCTTCAGCATTGCTTCTTGCTATTACAGACTACTTTTTACTGCGCCAAGTCACCAAATTCCCCCAGAGGCGTGTGCAATGTCCGGATGTTGATTTCCTATCTTCGATAGATCCGGCCCAATCTGCATCAGTGAAGATTTCCACCCTTATGTTTTCTTCTTTTCCAAAAAATAATCCTCTTCCCGGAGTCTTTTTGAGGTATCTCAATATTCGATAAATCGCTTCGAAGTGTCCTTGGCACGGTGAATGCATTCGTTGGCTTACCACGCTAATTGCAAAGGCGATGTCTGGTTGTGTATGCGAGAGGTATACTAGTTTTCCCACTAGCCGTTGATATCTTTCTCTATCAGCCATCTCTCCATCAATCGTTTTTGCCTTGCCTCCTTGTTCAATTGGAGTCTCTATCGGTTTGCACCCCAGCATACCCGTTTCTTGCAATAGGTCTAGTGTATACTTTCTTTGTGATATGGAGATTCCACTCTTGCTTCTTGCGACTTCCATTCCCAAGAAATATCTCAATTTCCCGAGAACTTTAACTTCAAACTCAATAGCCATCAACCTTTTAATTTTCTCCATTTCTTCAAAGTTGTCCAAAGTAAGTATTATATCATCTACGTATACTATTAGGACTGTGATTTTTCCATCTAATGAGTGCTTAACAAACAACGTGTGATCAGTTTGTCCTTGTGAGTATCTGTGGCTTTTAATCACCTTTGAAAATCTGTCGAACCATGCGCGCGGAGACAGTTTTAGTCCATATAGCGATTTTTTTAGCTTGCACACCATCTTGTTTCTCTTACCCTCTTCAAACCCGGGTGGTAGGCTCATATACACTTCTTCCTCCAATTCACTATTTAAGAAAGCATTCTTCACGTCGAGTTGAAACAAAGGCCAATCCAAATTTGCCGCTAGTGATAAGAGGACTCTTATTGTGTTAAACTTTGCAACAGGAGCAAATGTCTCAGCGTAATCGACTCCATAGGTTTGTGTGAAACCTTTTGCAACGAGCCGTGCTTTGAATCTTTCAATTGATCCATCCGGCTTGAATTTGACAGTGAATACCCATTTGCATCCGACCACACTCTTGCCTTGTGGTAGTTCAACCACACTCCATGTGTTATTTTTCTCGAGCGCTTGCATTTCTTCAAGTACTGCATTTTTCCATTCAGGAACAGCTAGAGCTTCTTCTTCCATTGACCTGGGAATATTGACACTAGACAGCTTTGTAGTGAAGGCACGGAAAAATAGAGACAGATTATCATACGACACAAATTTGGATATGGGATGTTGTGTACATGATCTAACACCTTTCCCATGGGCAATTGGTGTATCTAGTATTTTGAAAGTGTCTTCGGAATTACCTGGAGCTGAGGAAGTAGTTCCTAGCACTGGTTCGGATTATGAACAATGCATGGTGTTCATGAGGGGCCTGTTTCCTTGAGAATATTTTTTCCGAGAGTAAACACGTAGCACTTGTTGATTTGGCACACTGAGGTCTCTTCCTGTTCCTGTTTCACGAACCGGTACTTGTGTTTGCTGTTGCATATTTTCAGGTGGTGGTATGATGTCAGAAGAGGTGAGCTCGGATGTGGTGGGTGTAGTTGCAACTGTTTCAGTCTCGGGCAATGAGGTCACAGACATAGGTGGAGGTTCGGATATAGGTAGGGCAATGGTGTCCCAATCCTACACATGAGCTTCTTGATCATGATTCTCCCCCTGAAGCGAAGTGGGGGAATAATATGGCATGTCTTCAAAGAATGTGACATCACGGGAGATAAACATTTTCTTTTGCTTAGGGCAGTAACACCTGTACCCTTTTTAGGTTGGAGAATAGCCGAGAAAGATAGTCTTTATGGCTCGAGGTTTTGGTTCGGTGTTGGGTATAAATATGGACAAAGGTAGTGCAGCCAAACGTCTTGAGTGGAATGTTATTTAAGGTTTTACGATGTGGATAAGTTTTTGTGAGCTGGGATAATGGGGAATGGAATTTTAAGGTGCAGCTAGGTAGGCAATTTATGAGAAACGCAGTAGTTAAAATGGCATCTCCCCATAGGTATTTGGGGACATTCATTGTAAACATGAGTGCACGAGCGACTTCCAATAAGTGCATGTTTTTCCGTTCCGAGACTCCGTTTTGCTGCGGGGTATCAACACATGAACTTTGATGAATGATCCCTTGTTGTAGCAAGTACTCCCCCAAGATAGATTGAAAGTATTCTCTTCCATTGTCTGTTCTCAAGACACAAACCTTTTTCTGAAACTGGGTTTGGATCATGTTATTGAAATTTTGGAACACTTGGCAGGTTTCTGACTTTTCTCGAAGAAGGTATACCCAAGTTGTTCGTGTGTGATCATCAATAAATGTCACAAACCATTTTTTTCCATTTGTTGTGGTAACTCTTGATAGACCCCAGATATCACTATGAATTAAAGCAAATAGGCTAGAGGGTATATAAAATTTAGGAGAAAATGGTACCCGAGTGTGTTTTGCATATTGGCAAATGTCACAATGAAAAGAAACAGTACTTTTATTCTTGAATAAGGATGGTAACAAATGTTTCAAATATATAAAATTAGGGTGGCCAAGTCTATGATGCTACAACATTATTTCCCTATTACTAGAAACTGAAACTGATATAACTCCAGATGTAAATGCTTATTGACTCTCATTCTCTATGTCCTCGAGGTAGTAAAGCCCCTTATGAACTCTAGCACTGCCAATCGTCCTCTCCGATGATAGGTCCTGAAAATAACATGTAGAAGGGTGAAAAATGGCAGCACAGTTATTATCACGAGTGAGTTTACTTATGGACAACAAATTGCATCTTAAGGTAGGAACATGAAGAACTGACTCAAGTCTTAAGTCTTTGGATACTTTGATTGAACCTATTCCAGCAACAGAAGATAAGGATCCATCTGCAATTTTCACTTTAGCAGAACTATGACTAGGGGTATAAGAGAGAAAAAAATCAGAGACACTTGTCATGTGGTCGGAGGCACCAGAATCAATGATCCATGGTTCCTTAGAGTGAAGGGTAGACTTTAAGGATGAGTGAAAGTTACCAATATGGGCTACAGAACAGGATCTGAGACTTGGAGTTGACGAGGATGAGGCGGTGACTGGTTGAGGAGGCGATAGAGTTGCTCAATCTGTTCTTTGCTAAATGGAAGCGATTTCTGGTTTTCTGTTGCTGCTCCTTTGTCTTGGTTTGATTGAGTTTGAAGTGTTCGTCCTTCATTCTGTCTTCGGGGAACCCAATTTGCGGGTTTGCCATGAATTTTTCAGCATATGTCACGAGTATGTCCTTGTCGGTTACAATGGTCACACCACATTCGTTCTCCTCGCCGTGGGGTTCTAGACTCACTGTTGTTCCTTATTAGTTGTGAAGTATTTCTGGCTGCCAGAGCCGAGCCTTCTGTTGATGCTACACCGGATGATTCTTCTTCTAACAACATGATTTTCTGGCGATTTTCTTCACTATGAACCTCGGCAAAGGCTTCTTCAGTTATTGGGAATGGCACTCTACTTAAAACACGGCCCCTGACTTCGTTAAGATCCTGATTCAATCCAACAAGAAAATCGAATACCCGTTCTTTTTCAAGGGTCTGTCTCTGCTTCACATTGCACGTTGGACACACTGAATCTTCTTCAAGGAAAAGGTCCAGTTCTTGCCAATTGTCTTGCAGATCAGTGAAATACTAGGTAACCGATTTGGTTCCCTGTTTCATCTCCTTTAGTTTCGTGCGAATTTAGAAAACTTGTGAGGCATTGCCGAGATCGGAATATGTTCTTTTTGCAGTATCCCATACGTCTTTAGCAGTTGGAAGGAAGAGATATCGGCGGCTGATCATGGGCTCCATGGAGTTGATAAGCCATGCGTGTACAATCGAGTTTTCGGCAAACCACTTTTTGTATGTAGTATCGGTCAGTGCTGGAGGTTTAGCTTCACCAGTGATGTATTCAAATTTTTCCCTGCCGCAGATCACAATCTTTACTGACTGAGACCATTGAAGATAATTTTTTCCATTGAGTTTGTGAGCCGTAATCTGGAGCGAGTTATTGTCTCCACATTGAAACGCCGTGACGGACTGATCGGCGTGAGTTTTGTCGGGGTTTTCTGATTTGGAATCATCTCCACGTGAAGATCCCATCATGGCTGTTTTTGCCATTGAAATATTCAGAGTTCAAGGCTCTAATACCATGAACGCGGGTTACTTGAACTGCCGTGTTTTATTAATTGAATGAAAGTACACTTAAATAGACTAGGGTTTGAATACCGAGTCTATTATCTTCTCCTAGATTCACGGCAAAAAGATTTCTACTAGCTAATCTACTCTATTTGAATTTAAACTCTAACTGATAACTCCTAATCTATATAATCAGAAATAACAAACTAAATTAAAAACTATGTGACTTATTCAAACTCTCTCTAAAAGATCTTATCTGCTAACACATTGTTTAGATTTCCCTTGTTTATACTAACGCAGAAAGGGTTCAAGTACTCAATACATTTCATTTACTTCATCTGACCAAGTTCTATTTTTAGCTTACAGCCTGCTTTTTCTCCCCCTTCTTCCGTTCATTTAAAGAACCCAGGAGCGCATTCATTAATATTAGATATATAATTTTGACAATTTCAAGTCTACCGTGATAGTGATACCATGTATGATATTAATACATTATGTTCGTGAACAAAGAAAGTTGTTGTTCCTGGACCTTCCAAACAAGCCTTTTAAAGAAAGAATGTGAATGCCGAATAGTAGCCTATTCTGAAGGTATGAATTACAATTTACAACTACAATTGAAAGAGTAGGCACTGACCTGATACTTGTCAATAGCTCGTCGGTCCTCTTCAATCAGTTTTGACTCTTGTTCAAGTTTTCGAGCAATGTAATCCTTAATGACAGAGATTGTGAGACATGGATTTCTGGATAAAGTTTGAAGAACAATAATTGGAGGCAAGATGTCATCCCTCTCTATGTAGGTTAGTACTTCCTTCACTGCTTTAGAGCAATCTTCTCCTAGTTCACCAAAATATTTCAGCAGGTCTGCCCAAAGAGATGGGTCCCCTCCCTTACCCGAATCCCCAAGTCTCTTGCAGCATGCGATCAGTCCCTCGTGGTCATGAGCCTGCATGTAGCAAGCAATTACCTCTTTATACAGTTTCATCTTTTCATATAAATACAAAAGCCCATCTCTAAATGCATTCATTTCGCAGAGAATTATTGCAAGCCCGACATCATATAGGGGATGTTCCAGCTCTGGTGGCCAAGCATTCTTCAGCAATTGCAGTCCCTTCTTGTGTCTTTCCAAACAGTCCTTTTCCTTCGTTAAATCTTTGCCATCAGCAATTACTTTCCCATTGGACTCAGGTCTTGACTGCACAGGTACTCCCTCTCTTACCACAAGGTTTAGGTCAACTCCATTGTTTGCTTGTGATATAGATGGAAAGTCGAAATCCCTGGACAAATACAACTCCAAAAGTGTATTATGAATTTCTACTTGAGCAGGTGAGTCTTTCACCTTGTTAGTATACTTCTCAAGAAAATCCATTAGGGACTCTGGATGATGGATGAAAATGTTAAGAAAATCAACGGGAGATGGGAGCATAGACAAATATGTGACATTAGAGGCACCTTCCTTTGCTGATTCTCCATCTTCAGTGCAAAGTCTCATGAGTATCTCAATTGTCTCCACAGGCTTGTGCGCTATGAGAATCTTACCATACTCTTTTATGGTTACCCCAGCTTGACTTGGTTCAAGGCTTGAAATATACTCCAATGCTTCATCATATCTACCAAGATCTTCAAGCAAGATTTTCAAGTACAATTCATGCCTACCTGCCTTCTTAGCAACATACATTGCATGCTCGTGGTAATTGGCAGCACGACAGACCCTGATTGCAGTCTCCACATCAAACTTGTGTTCTCCAGCGCCATCCTCACTTTTTATGAAGACATTTAGCTTTTCAACATCTTTCAATTTTGTGTAACAGTTCAGTAGAAGAGTGGTATGATCCTTGGACGCTAGTCCCTTTTCATGTAATTTTTCCAAGTAATTTGTAAGGTTGTATATTCTTTGTGCATCTAAGAACTTCTGTATCACATAAGAAGGCTCAAGGTGGCCGATGGTATGGATATATTGAGCCATAGCCTCATCATAATCTTGTTTGCTGTATAAATGATCCCCATACTTCCTTAGTACCTCTGCAGTTGCTGCTGCATCAGCTTGCTGACTTTGTACAATGTTGATGGCTACAGTATAGAGGTTCTTCTTAAAGAGCATATCTAACTTGCTTTCCATATCCTTTTCCCCAATGCACAGAGCAGATTTGTCGGCCATAATGAGAATTATGTTCCCCCATTCACAAAGCATATGGGAGACTTCATTAACCACAAGACTATGAGCAATTAACCGATTCTTGAGGTCATAAACGTTGAATGTGTTCTTTCCATTTCTTTGATCAGCAATAACACACAAAAGGTAACCACGAAACCACCCTAAGAATTTTTTCTCTCCTTCAAAAGCCCAACACGGGCCACGGCCGTCAACGTCATAAAAGTATACAGCCTCAGGTCGACCAACAATCAACTCCTATTATAGGAAAACAATTTTAACTCTCAGCAATCTAAGATAATTAAAAGGAAAACAATAAACCCTATCAATCTAGAAATGACGATCCAACAGAGATGCATACCGATCGATCGCTCATTGCAACACTATTAACAACAGATCCGATCTCATCCAGGGTTTGCCGCTTTGCTGGTTGACTTTGCAAGCTGAACAAGTTCACTGAAGTTGGAGTCACAGCAAACAACTGAAGGGCTTGACCATCCACCCTGAATCCAAGACCTACGATAGAGGATTGGCTCTTATCAGAAGCATTATCCACCTGAAGCTTGAAACGGGTAATACGCTCTCTTGCAATGTCCCCTTTGATGCAATAAATGCAACCATTATCTAAGCCAATAGCGATTAGAAGTATCGGTGGGGCTTCTTCCAGGACTAAAAATGACGTAATCTGCAATAGCAAATCGTTGCAACTTCAACACTTATAATGATTAATAGATTCAAATTGACAAGTACATGGATAAGCTGAAAATAAGAACCAAATAAGGATATAGCGAAACCACCTTCGCTTTGGGGAACTGATTGGTGAATATGCGCAAGATTCCAATACAATCAGGACTAACTGAGCTCGAGCCCTCAGATTGCATCCTATCAAGGTCAAAAACCTTGAGGCACGTAGCGGATTGCTGGGGAGAAAGTTGTTCATCTTCTCCAACGGTCACCAGAAAGTTCCGTTGCTGATTTAACAAAAAGAAGAAAAACCTCACATCAACCAAGTGTAACTAAAAGAATTTCAGAATACTTCACCATCAAGACATAGATTAAATCCCATACTCAGTCTTTACTAAAGAAGATGACAATCTAGGAAAACTAGAGAAAAAAAAATAGCAGAAGAAAAAATTACATCAGCCAGTAGGACTAGAACAATTTCGGAAGAAATCACCATCTGGACAGAAATCAAACCTAACCTATTTCCGTCATCATTTGAAATGGTGTATACATTCAAAAAAAGAAAAAAAAAAGAGCTTCTTTAACTATATTTTCCAGAAATCAAACAGGACGAAGAGAAAATTTACATCAATTACTGCAACAAACTGATAATAGTTAACCATCTGGACAGAAATTCAACCAATAATCAAACTTTAATTAATGAATACAAATTTCTTCTTCACCTCCATTTTACATCAATCACTAAGATAATTTACGAATAATTCACCACCTAGACAAAACAAAAGGAAAATGCAGGTAGGGAAAATAGGGCAGTAAGCAGAATGAGCATGAAAAAATCGGCTCATTTTCTCCCTACATTTCCCAGCAACCAAACAGAAGGACCGGACAAAAACAAAAAAGATAATGGAACCTTGAGCTGCTGAAGGAAGAGGACAGATGAAGAGTGAGCATGGAAGGAGAAATTGAAGTTGAGGCCTCTGTCCAGGAGGCTGACGGCGCCGTTGTGGCATCCGACGACGACCTTCCCTCTGCCGCTGGAGCAGCACTCGATCTTCCCTTCGACTTCCTCGGGAATCGCGCACTTTCCCGCCAATTTCTCCTCGAAGAACTCGAACTTCCTCCACTGGTACATCGCCGGAATTCGATCGGTGAAATCTGATGTCGGAAATGATCGCGATTTGAATTTCACAGAGCGGAGGTTAGATCCGAACTAGGAAATTTCTTTCAATCTCTCTCTCTCTCTCTCTTTTTGCGAAATACGGTCTTTCGCCAGTTCTTGTATACGGGTCGGGTATGCTTTTTTTGGTTATGAAGACGGGTGAAGTCGTAAATTTCACACGTCGTCGTTCTGTAGAGTTTGCCTGTTTTAATGAAGAGCAAACAAATTTTTTTTCCCCCTTTTTTGAAGACTTCCTATTTTAAGGTTTTGATTAGCGATTTTTTCAAAAAAAAAAAAAAAAAAAAAACGAAAAGTAAAACTAAAATATATTCAAAAGTAATAGCAGCAATAATAGCAATGGTTATGTGTTAAAAACATTAAAGAATGCTCTTAAGAATACTTTACATTATCCAATTATGTAAGAAGATAATTTTAACAGGATTATCGTAATGTATTTTTAAATGTTAAATCTGTGAAAGTTTCTTAAACATTTTTATGTAAAACTGATAGAACTTGATACATGTTTAGAGATTGTTTGTTTTATGAGTTTAAACTCATAATTTTTTATTCTACTATAGTATTTTTTTCTCATAAAAAATTTAAATTTTAAAAGTTACGATAAATGATTTGAGCTCATAAACTAAATGTGTCCTTAATAATTTAAAATAGAACCTACAAATAGAATATTGTACAAAATTCTCTAATTAAAAAATAATTATTGAAAAAACTTATTTTTAGGAAGACTATTGAAAGGTTGGACTTCTTAGAATAGACGTACTCTTTAGAAAATGAGATTTTCTTTCTTTCTTTCTTTCTCTTGTTTTTCATTTTTTTTTTTCACTAGTATAGGTAAAATTCTGTGTAATATAGTATAACAGGTCATACCATTAAATTCAACGGTTTATACTTTTAAAGTTTTGATCTAACAGTTTTGATCTCATGCTTCTAGGACACCATTTATGTGACCTTAAATATTGTATATAAGTGTTATATGCGAAAGAATATTATTTAAAGATAATAATTAAAACGATGTTCGTAATGAATTTAATTAAAGTTTGAAATCTTTAATTAAAACATTACTAATACATGTCATTCCTATTTAGAATGGAATGGTGTTATCCGCACTGTTAATATGGCGAGATATTGAATGAATGTATTACGCATAATGAGATTGTGTGGAACCGAGACACATACACAATATGAATTTTTGATAATTTCCGTTAAGTATAGAAGTTTTAATTGAGTCTATCGATGGTTATATATAGAACGATCTTAATCTTGAGTTATTAGCATACTCCTATTTAAGGATTTGTGTCTTTTGATATACTCGGTATGGATTCTGAGATCTTGAATCTTATTCTTTGTATTTTGGAGACATAATGAAGTAGGTAGCCTGTAATGTTAATATACGAGATGTAATCCATTCTTTCTTGAGAAAGAAGTAGATAAATAATTCTCTTGAGGATTGATTCGGTACTTGGACTAGTAGGAGCTTCGATGCATGAATTTATTTTATGAATTACTGTTTATTAGAGAATCAATGATACTCAAGGATAAAGATGTAATTAGAAAGGTTAATGGATTTCACTTAGCTCTAATTATGATTTATTTATGAATGATTGATCTATATGTAATGGCTCTATCAAATGGACACATTACAGTTTGGAAGTAAATTACATATATAATTACGAGAGTGCAATTCCAAGTTTATAGTGGAGTAATTTTTAGAATTAATTGAATTAATTAATCAATTAATTAAAGAGTTTTAATTAATTATTAATTTTATTGGAGCTCAGAATTTTAAGTTCAAGAGTCCCCGCGTCGTCTTTACAATCCTACAAGCCACTAAAGGCAAAATGAAAATTTTAGAATTATAGAATTCTAAATAGAACACTCAAGAATAATTAATTGAGAATTAAATATAAATTAAATAATTTGATTATTTAAATTTGAATTTTGGAACACACATGTGGAGGAGTCCACATGGTGTACACTGACAACACTGTGAGAATCCCTATGAGATTTAGTTGTTTGCTCTCTAAATTATCTAATTGATTTATTTGATAAGTTGTTCAATTGAAATTTGAATTTGAGTCAAAATTGAAGTGTACGATAAAGGAGAATTTTTTCTCCTTCCCTACCTTTAATTTGCGCCAACCACAAGGGGAATATCCCAGTGGTGGCCGGGCCAATAGGATCAGAGAGAGAGTGGATTTTGTTTCCAAAATAAAATAGGAGTGTGAAATAATTATCAAACTTTATCTTAGAGATAAAGTTTAGACTTCTTCTGGGAGTCTGACTACTACTCTATAAATAGGAGATTGCAGAAAATTGGAGACACAATTTTTTGCTCTCCCTAGCATATAGTGGCCGGTTTTATAGAGTGAGGAAAAGGAAAATTTTCTCCTAAATTCCACGTCGTGCATGTGTTGGTGATCGTGAAAAACTTGAGTGTTTGAGTGCTAATTCCGTTTTGTTTCAGTTGTGCACACACAAACATCATCTTAGATTCAAAAAATTGACGAGGAAGATTCAAGTATTCTAAACAAACGTGGAGCAAGGAACGTTCGTGGTCAAAGAACTCAAGTTATCGACCTAATCATTCGCTAGGTAAATTTATTCATAAAGATTAATTTATTCATGCATAATTAATGTATTCTATAGAGTATCTCAAAGATTTATTAAAATTTTTGTTATACACGATCCGCTAGATACACGCTTCTGTATTGAAAATCATTTTCAAAACCAACATAAAGTGGCACCCAATTTATTTATTACCCACACAAAAGACTTTATAGAACAATATAGGCTCTTTACAAGAACACCACAAGGTTTTAAATAGGGTTATACATCGATCGGATTGGGCGAGATTTTTTGGCCGAGTCGATCTATTCCTGGTCAGAAAACTATGAGCTGCATACCCCGCTAGTCTCATAAACCAGCATAAAATCAGATGTCTTAGGGTCGGCTTGCCTCGCCTCGGGGTACTCAAATTAGGCCATCGATTCTTCTTCTACGACTCTAAAACATAAGCAAAAAACAACCCCATTTATGTTAAAAAGGAATGAGTTCTTCTCATGCAAAAACAATATGGGTTCTAACTTCCCAGCAATTCCTAAATCAGTGAGAGCTTGAGGCTCAGAAAGGGAGAAGAAAAGAGTCAAACTAAGAGATTGAAGGTCAGAAGGAGAGCAAGATGTTGAGACTAAGATCATGGAGTGAGATGCAGAGAGAGAAGGCAAAACTGGATAGAGGAGGGGCGGCATATGAAGAGACCTAAGGTTTCTTAGCTTTGTTTTTATACGAAGACATGCAACCCCATTAAAAGCAATATAATAGTGATATATGAAAATAATTTTATAACAAAACATTAGTTCGACCGAGGTCGGGGAAATACGGGTTGGGCTTCTTCAAATCTGCACCCTGGCTCGCACAATTCAGGGAAGCCATTTTAATAACCGAAGATTAAAGGGTTTTTGGCACAATTACTCCCGAACTTGTCGTGGTTTAACAAATTGTTCTAAACTTTTAATTTTGACAAGTTGCCCCTGAATTTGTAAATTTGTTTCAATCTATCTCATTTAACTAAATTTGTTCAAAATTTTTATTAGATTTAAGGGATTAAAAGTTAAAATATTGAAAGATTTATGGTACATCTTTTTTTTTTTTTTTTTTTGCTCTGAAATTTGTGTTACATCAGAATTGGAATGTTGAAATTTTTGGCTGAACGTGCTTTTCTGACATTAGTTTAACATAATCGTCATCGAAATGAGACATATTGCAACAAATTTACAAGTTGAGAGGGCAACTTGCCAAAATTAAAAGTTTAGGGGGCAATTTACTAATTTACGACAAGTTTAGGAGGAAAATGTTCTAAAAATCCAAGATTAAAATAAAAACTTGAAATTTGATTTTCTCAGGGTGATTGAGTTTATGTACAACCCTAGTTTTAAGCTTGGATTGACTTATACTAGGGTAGATAAACGTTTGTAGAAATTGCCCCAGCCACGTCATCACCAGTATTCGCCTAAGAAACCGACTAGTATCCAGATGCGATAGTGGTATCTGGCCGAGATACCCACCGGTAACAACCGATTTTGGCAGCAGTCCGACTATCATAGTGGCCGGAATACTTCAAATTTTAGAAAAACACAAAAATCCCTCTACCATCGACTGGTATTCATGTGGACACTAACCAGTATCTTGGTCAATATCCACTAATAGACCTCTGTTTTAAGAGTTATTGCAGTCATCGTCTCAACCGGAATATAAAAAAAATACAAAAAACACTAGAACACAAAGAATAAAATAACTCCATAGAAACCACAAATCGTCAAAGAATCAAAGAAAAGTCAATCTTCGATCAACGCAAAGAAAACTTTTTGTTGCCAGAGAACGGCGACGGGAGATCTCCTTCGTACGACTGCGACTAGAGCGTGCAGATTTGGAGATCTCCTTCCCAAGGGATCTAGAACGTGGTTGTAGATTCGAAGGTGCAGTGTTGTAGATGTCCTCTACGGTGGCAAAAGGACTCACCGATCTCTTCGACTCGTGCGAAACGACGCTCAACTGAAGAGCTCCGACCACATTTGACACGGGGGATCTTCACCCACGAAGAAGGTGAAGGCAGCATGCAGGGTTAATGCGCCGATTGGAGAAGATAAGAGGAGAGAGAAAAGAGCCGCGAAGAAAGAGAAAAATGAGAGAGGAAAAAAAAGGAAAAACCTAACCCTAATCAGATTGAGGGTTTCTAGTTTTTTTAATCAAATATTTGTTCTGACACATGGCATAAAACTGAATGTTTAAGCAGTCATGGTAAAACTCAATCTGCATTTAAAAGTCATGGCACATTCCCTAAATAGCCCGAACAGTATCCACATGATGGATGACTCTTTCATAAATAATGTTATTCGGCCCAATTTAGTTCAACAGTATTGAACCTAGCAACTCATCCCACCAAAAAAAAATGAAATTGTTACGTGGGTTAATGAGACATATGGCTTAATTATCCTTTCGGAATTAAAATATGGTTGCAATTTGTGACTATTTTACATGACTTAATGTACATG